TAGCGAGTTATTGAGCTTGGGAAAAACAGCGAGGGCAGATGAGAATAGTAGGAATTAGAGAGTTTATGGAAAAATTTCCCAAAGAAGGTAAATATAATTTGAAATATGGCTTTATTTTTTCTTCTCAACAAGAAGATGATGAGGTTTCTGAAAATCAAAATCAAAAAGAAGAAAATAAAGAAGAGAAAAAGTCAGAAAACGAAACTTCGGAGAAGCAAAAGGAAAGAGTTGAAATGATTGAGGAAAAATCAAAAATTAAATAAAATTATAATATACTACCTTGTTAGGTTTCTTTCAAGGCAAAAGCACAACTGGAGTTATTTTCCCAGAGTTGGGAAAGGATGATTTCAACTCCAGTTGTTTATCTTTTCTCGGCTCTTGAAAAATAGAGCATGAATTATCCCACTAGCATCAGTCTTCAAACACTTAAAAGCCAATTAGATATTTTTGAGAAAACCCTACTTGTTAAACAAAAAGTAGCCAACCAAGACTATTTTAAGCAATTAATTAAGGTTGAACTTGGTAAACTTCTTAAATCTTTACCCAAAGGAGTAGATAAATCAGAGATTTTACCCTTTTTAGAAGAAAATATTAAAAGTGAAAAAAATAAGCAAATAATTATCGCTACTGTTAAAGCACTTTTAGGTAAAGAAAATTGAAAAGGCGATATTTATACAGGCGGTTGAAACGAACAACAAGACACTTCCAACATCCACAAAGTCTTTGGTGAAAAAAACTTTACTAACGGCGAATACACCGGAGGCTGAAATAAACAGCAAGACACTCAAAATCTCAAACAATCCTTAACGGATGGCGAGGCCAAAACTCTCACTTCTAACTTAATCGAACAAAAATTAGGTGGTTCCGAAAAATTTCAAGAAGGAGTTTACCAAGCCAAACCGGAAATAGTTAAATCAGTCCTGGAAGAACTAAAAGCTAAGGGAACAATTTTAAAAGAAATCCACAACATCTTTGGTCCCGATGAGTTTTATCCGACCGAACCCAGTGACAGCATTCCCAAAGGACGAGAAGGCTTTCGTAAAAATGCTAAAGAATTGGCCTTACAACAAGCCGAAGAACAAGCCCAAATTAAAGCCATTGAAGCTTGACGAGAATTCTACCAAGACCACGGCATTGTCGACAGCAATGATAAACTATTCTGATCGAACAAATACGGTAGTGATGTCAAAACCGCCGAAGGAGTCTACAAGGATGCTCTTTTAAAAGGTGAAGAAATTGTCGGGGGTGATTTCACTAAATTAGAAGAAAATCGCATCAACAAAGCCACTACTCCGACAAAAATCCAAGAAGTTTTAAAAGATATCCCGGTTGTCCGTCGCAAAAAAGCCTGAGAAAACTTCTTTGCTAACCACGACACTTTAGGCAGTATTAAAGAAGAATGAAAGGATAATTGAAGAAAAAGCAGTTTAAGTATTGAAGTCGCCAAATTAATCTATAATAATGGGTGATACAATAGCCCTAATGGCTTAATCAACGATAATAAAATCATTGAAAATTATACTACGGAAAACTTAGTCATGGGCCAACCTCATCCCCAAACTACTAAAGGGATTGAAACCCTCAAGCATGTGGCCGAAGAAGTTGACAAAGTCCATGAATTTATTGTCAAAAGAATTGAAACCGAAACTAATTTGGATAAATTCCCGACGGAGGAAGAAATAAAATCGGCTTATCAAGAAAAAAAGGTTCCTGACACTAGAAGTTGAGAAGAAATTGGCAAGATTAGAAATAATCGCATTAAATCCTTATTTAAAGAGTATTTTCAAGGTCAAAATCCAACTAAATTAACTGACTCGGAAATAGAAAAATGAAGGGTGGGCCAAACTGGACTACCAAACACGGGCAAAGACCAACGAATTGCTTATGATAATGGCTGAATTAACCCTGCTGAAATAAAAAACAGCCAAATTACTTACCAAAACATTGCTAATATTTCCGTTTTGAAGGTTAAAAAGCAAGATATTGATGCGGAAATCCAAAAAGTTAATAACTTAGTCAAACAAATTAATTCTTATCAATTTTTAAGAGATTTAGATGCTAACCAAGCAAAAATTGACCAACAATTTAAAGAATTAAAAAGAGACTTATTACCTCCCAATAAAGATCAAGAAATTAAAGTAGCAGTTGAAAAGGCTCGCAATAACCTCTGATATTCTCTAACTGATCCCCAAGATGGCGGTCTCGATGAATCTACGCTTAAAAAATTAGCAGCAAATTTACAAAATACCTGAAATGTCCCGAATTATGAGCCAATGACCGTGGCTAAACTTAACCAATTTATCGCGGCTGACCAAGATGTTCAAGCCCTTGGTCTCTTTAAAGAAGATACCAAATGGGAAGACCTAACTAAATCGGGCTGACTAAAAGAACAAGGGGGCTATGAAATCCCTAAAGATAAAACTAATGCCGAAGAAAAACTTGACATTTCGCAACGAGGAACCCATCTTTTAAAGTTCTTTTATGAAAAAAATAAAGATGGCAAAGGTTATGCTTTTAATCCGGACAAATTAACTGATCCGAAAGTCCATTTTTGTCAAATCGGAACTAAAATGGTGAAAAAGTTCAAAAAAGGGAAAATGGGATTTGGTGGCGAATGAAAAGAAGAACCAACCGAAGTAATTGGTGGCGATAAAGGAACGGCTGGCCACTTGGCCATTGGAACTGGTATTGGCAAATCTACCAAAGTAGTTAATTGTTTATGTAAAGGAGGAGAAAGACACATTATTTTAGTAACTACTAATCAAACTTTAGTCGATAGTGCGTTTAAACATAATACTGGTTGATTACAAGAGTGAGGTTGTGTTTTCCATGGTGGTGCCAAAGGAGAAACTGAAATGGTTTATGTTCGTCGCGGAACCATGGAACGAGCCACGGAAGAAGATATTAAAGAAAATCGACACGACCCGGATTTAAAAACGCTTTACAAATCCCACGGTACTTATCCCGTTGCCAAAAACGATTTAGCCTACTGATACAACGCTAATACTGGACAAAAAGAAGGAATAGAAGAAGGCAAAAAAGGCTTGTCGGTGATGTATTTTGGTCACTTATTAGGATTTGTCGCCCGTAGTCTTTTCGTCGAAAGTGGCGGGATTAATAGTTGAAGTGATGAAAATCTCAAAAGAAAAGTTAAAGAAAAATTAATCCCCAAAGAAGACACTATTATCGTTTTTGATGAAGCCGATTGGACTGATGCTGGGTTTCAAGCCTTACAATTCGAAATGATTAAAGCGGGTTATAAAGTGTTAAGAATGTCCGCTACTTTCCCCGGAGTGGATTTCTCGGCTACTTCTACTTATCCCCGGAAAATAATGTATACGGGAAGATTAGACCCGAACATGCCCGCTGGATTAATGAGAATAAGAAATTCCGAACATGCCGAAAAGCTGGAAACTATGCGCGGTTTGCAACCCGGAACTATTAAATGACAAGATGAAAATGGTTTACCCATTCCTATTGAAGTTAATACCGAAGAAATGGTGCAAACTGGTCGCATTTGGATTTTCCTGAAAAGTTTAAAGTTAAGTGATGAACAAGTTAGAATTTTAGGAAACAATGCCTCTTACATGCTTTATACTCCGGAATTTGATGAAAACTGCGAAGAGATTACTTATGGTCGTCCCGCTGGTTCGGCTGATGGAGTTGATGGCGATAAAGACAGGGGGGTTAGTCCGAAAATTGATGCCGTGATTTGTTTAGGGGCAACCGAAACTACTAATTTACAAAAATTTTTTACTTATTCCGAGCCAACGCTCGGACTTACTACCAAATCTTCTTCCGTGCAACAATTTGGTCGAGTAGGTCGCCATGACCCGGGATTAGTCATTACTCTAATTAAAGAGTTTGGGGAGATTGATTTAAGCGATAATGTTTCCGCCGCGATGGTGAAAGCTTGTTTTGATGGAAATGTTAAGCAAATTGAAGAAAAGGCTTATAAGCAAATTTACGATGTGGATATTTTGAGGGGAGCCTTATCTTATCCTGACCCCAAAACTTTCGGTAAAGCCCCCGAGGAAATATTGATTGGTTTAAAAATCACCAAGGATCAGCAAAGTAAAAAAGAGAAATTGACTCAATTAGTTTGACGACAAGATAATGAGGAGGATAAGAAAGAAGCTTTGGCCAAACCTTGATACGCCTTTATGGACAAAGAAATTAACCCCAGCGAAAAGTTATGAAATCGCTACTTGGGTAAATCCGACAAAATTACCATGGGCGAAGAGCAAGCCAAGAACTTATTAAAAGAAATGATTTCCAACTTTATCACCCAAGATAAGAATTATCCCCAAGGACTAGATTTGAAAAATCAAGCCAAATTTATCAACTCCGTTTTTGGCGAGAAGTTAGAAAATGGTAAAAAAGAAGAAGTGATCAAGGAAACCAGAACAGTCTTAAATGGCTTAGTGGAAGCCAAAGTTAATGAATTATCAGCCAAAGATTATGATGAAACTAATAAACGCTCGAAAAATCCCAACACCATTAGGAAATTAGCCGGATTATATAAATTAACGGATGCGATAATTGATTACGGCAAAGAGAAAAACGGAGAAGGAAAATTAGTTTGAACTTTAAGAATGAGAATATAAATATTTAAAAAACATGTCAGAAACAATAAAAATTACTAAGGAAACTCAAAGAAGAATAAATGTGGCCAAGGCCCTTTTAACCGAAATCGGTAATTCTTACACTTTCCGAAAAGAAATTGAAGACACGGAAAAACTGGCTGAGAAAGAAGGCATTGAGGCTTATTGAAAATTACAAGGCAAATTAAGCCGTGGGGAACTTTCCACTAAACTAATCAGTTATAAAGGAATTGATGATGCTACCGAATTTTGTATTCACTTGGCCAATATTTTAAACGGCATTGAAACCCCCGAAGAAAAATGATACCGCATTCGAGAAAACATTAAGGAATTTTTAAAAACTGATGAAGATATTCCCAAATCTGAAACTTTAAAAAAATTAGCCGATGAAGCCATCGAAGAAGACGCCATGGATGGCTATTACAATCTCCTAACAAGTTATAGAAAAAAATATGATGAACTAGTAAAACTAAAAAACTCTGAGGCAAACGCCAATGATTTCTTAGCCAGAATGACGGGCGTTATTCACGATCGAAAATAGTATGGTAAATATGAACTGCGACAAATGATTTTACCTCTGTTTAGCGATTTTGGGAGTCTTATTAATTGTGATTCTTGTCTCTTATCGCTATAATTTACACCTCGATAAGAAAAGCTTGAAATTAGAAGCCAATGACCGCGAACATGAACGCCAGCATGCTTATAACGAGGCCCGCATCAAAGAATTAGAAAAAAAGAATGGTCAAATCGATGAATTAAAGCAACAAATTTTAGAATTAAAAAACAAAGTAAAGAATAGAAACAAATAAAAATATGAATCAAGAAATCAATCAAACTATCAAAAAAGTAATCAAATGCGAACGGGCCGCGAATAATACCCAATGAGATTTTGAGATAGAAATAGCCCAAGCTCCAACCGTTTTCGCTAAGGGAGTTGAATGTGGTGGCCCTTGACACGAGAATAATTTAAGACAGGACTTAATTTGAAAAAGCAGAATATCTGTTTTGTTCGGAAAGCCAACTAACAACCAGTTAAATGTCCGCTGTTGAGATTGCGCCAATTTTATCTTGGATGAGTTGGTTCACAACCAAAGTGTTCGGATTCTTAACCCCGAAGATGTTGAAATCATTCAACAAGCCTTACAAGCCCACGCCAAATAAACCACATGACCAAAGATAATCAAGATATCACCAAAATTTACGAACTAATCCAAAAAAACAACGAACAAATCCAACAAGAAAGTCGTTGAAATAGAATTACCAATTTCGCCCAAACGGCCTTGGTTTTACTTCCCACGTTGGCTCTCCTTTGGAAATCTTTTAAACCCAAAAAACTTAGTCCCAAACAACGCTTAATGCGGATTAAAGTGGCAATGGCCCGCTTGAAGTTGGAGGAGGAAGCCGTCCGCCAAGAAGCCATCCACGAAGCCGAATTAAAGAAGATGGAAACTGGTCTAGAAGCCGAAGAAAATCAGGATTTATTATCTTCGCTCAAAAAACAAGGCCAAAGTCTGTTTAAAGACAAAATTAATCAAGTCAATAAAGTGGTGGATGATAAAATCAAACAGACCAAAGAAACAGTCAACAATAAACTAAAAATTGACCCTTCTTTATTAGATAAAGAGGACAAAAATTAATTTATGTTTACCACCTGTTTTAAATGTCGAAAACAAAATGATTATTGGCAGTCTCGTAGTCTCAAGGAGTCCATTACTCTGAACGGCAAAATATTATCAGGTGCTTTTGCCGCTACTAAATATTTTTGTCCCGTTTCAGAAAGAAAGGTCCGTAATGGCACTCTCTCCGAAAACCAAGAAAAAGTGTTGATTGCGGATTGCCTAAATGGCGACCGATCCGAAGTTAGAGAAAAAGTAAGTTTAGAAAAAAAATAAAAAAAAACCAGTTGCAACAAAAGGGGGTTTCGAATCATTGCAACTGGTTCGCCCCCTTTTCCCTAACGGGATCGTAAAAAAATACCTCACGATGAGGTTCCAATCCTTAAAATATATTTATAGAGTTTCGAGTAAAAACCAGTTGCTATTTTATCCACACAATAAGCATATGGTTAACGAACAAAAACAAACAATCTTAAATGAACTGGACGAACTAAGGAAGGAAAATCCTAATTTAGTTGCTAATGAGTTTAGCGTTGAGCAATTTATCGCTAATTGCCAAGAGGGTTCCGCCCCGATTTCGGCCATCGTGAATTTTTTCTTAAATTCTATTCGCGAGAAAGATAATACTATTCACGAAAAGGATGAAGAAATCAAGAGTAAAAACCAAACTATCGCTAATTATCAAGCCCAAACGCAAGGTCTGAATAGTCAATTATCTCGTAATAAACCTCGCCGTTTGTCTTTACAAGAAGGGGAAATTTATCCTACTAGTTCCTCTCCTCGTCCGGATTTACCTTCTCCTTTTCGCACTCCAGCCACTCCCACTATTCCCGAATTAGAATGCCTTTCTAATTTAGTTCACCAAAGAGAAAGCGAATTAGAACAGGAAGCCAGCCAAGTAATTGCCGATTTACGAGCGAACAAGGAAAAATTACTCCAGCAATTGAGTTCTTTAAACAAACAATTAGAACAAAAAGAATCCTTACTAAGAGATTCAGAAACCGAACGGCAAGAGCAAACTCACCAACTTACTCAATTAGTTGAGATAAAAGCCGAAAACACTAAACTTCGCGCGGAATTAAAAACCAAAGAGGAGCAATTTAAACAAAAAGAAAAGGAGGCGGATGAGACCAATACTGACTTTCTTTTAGCGGCGAACAAGGTGGAAGTTTTACAAGAACAAGTCAAGACCATCACTAATGAGAATGTCGAATTACAACATTACTTAAATGAAGTTAGCCAAGAAAGAGATTACTTAAAAAGAAATCAAAAGAGAACTCATCAGGAATTATTAGACAAAATCGATGAATTAACCCAACTTCAAAAGTCGGCAGCAGAGCAAAAAGAAGAGTTGGAAGATATAATTTACCAACGTGAGGAGGCTTATGAAAGCATTCGCCAACAACGGGAGGTAGAATTTCAAAAACAACTTGACAATTTAAGATTATTTCAAAATAGCGAAAGTAATAAGAATAAATCTTTAAAAAGATTATCTTTACATAATCGCTCCTTAAGTGAGAGTTTACCAAACAGTGGTCGTTCTACTCCTAATTCTGAAAAAGGTTATATTATTTTCCCCGGTCAACCTTCCCCTAAATTCTCGTCGGGCAATTTATCTGCCGAATTAGAAAAACAAGGATTTAGCACACAAGGCGGAATTATTAGTAAAGAGTTTACTTCTTCGCCAGCCAGTGAGTATCCAGATCCATTTGAACAAGCCGTTAAAAGACGAAGTAAAAGAAGTTCAACTCTTTCTTATGAACTGTTAACTAATCAAGTAGAGACAGAAGAGTCCGCTGAATCAGCCACTGATGAAGCAGAAAGTTCCTTTACTGCTCTTATGTCAACGGTTGATAATTTTAGCACTGGACCTATTTGTAATATCGAGGAACATCAGACTCTGCTGGAAGAAAAAAAGTTTTGAGAAAGCTCCCTCCAAGAATTGAACGCCCAATTATTAGATTGAAAAGAAAATAAAAGTAAAGAGTGAAATAATGAATTGGGCCAGGCCAAATATGAGTTAGCCGAAGTTCAGTCCAGTAAAGGAAAAGTTGATCAAGAACTCCAAACGGCCCAAGATAAAATTAGGGAGTTAGAAAATAAATTAAGGCAAAGAGAAAATGACTTAAATCAAGAAAAAGAAAATTTACACGATGAATTAGTGATGGTCAAAAATGAAAGTAATTCCCAAAAAAAGGTCTTGGCTGATTTAGTGGATAATGTGAGTCAGTTGAAAGAAGCCGAAGAAATAATGGATAAACAGTTAGTCAGTCCTCTGAATAGTTTAAAAAATAGTTTTAAAGAATTTGGAGTTGAAATCCAAGAAGCCCAAATATTAATTAACAATTGAAATTTAAGAAACAAAAACAAATAAAAGCATATGGTAAATAGTAATAAAAATAGTCCCCCCAATTCCCGTCCTGCTTCTCCCACTGGAGATGAGATCAAAAAAACTGTCGCTGATTTAGAAGCTGAATTAACTACTTATAAACAAGCGGTT